AAGTACCTCGAAATATGATAATGTTGCCGTGAACTTTAAGTGGCGGAGAAAGGAAAGAAACCTGAACCAGCCGAAGGCCAAACAATTAAAGTCCCAATGTTTAGGTCAGAAGTGCAAGGTGTGACAAATGTGCAAAATGTAAATTTGCCAGAAATGCAAATGCAGCAGAAATGTCAATGGGCCATTAGAGCGAAAATAAAATTCCTACAAACACCGCCATGGTCAATAGGCACATATTTTCACGGAGTTTTAACACTGTAATAGACAAATGTGCGTTTTTTAACTAAACTCTCAGAAAATAATAAAAGTTAAAGACAAACGCTGAGGATGTAGTGCAGTAAATGAACTCTAGGTCTTTGACTTAGCTTAATCCTTACCTTAAGCCAAACCCTAAAACGAACCCTGACCTTTATACGCAGTGATAATTGCAAACCTAACAGCCCCAGACGTATACTTTGAGGGTCCAGATAGCAGACCTTATACCAACTTCCGCTAGACGGTTTAAGTGCTGAAACTAACATTCTGAGAAGGTCGGATCTGGGCCGCTAACCCGTCTAAGGCAAAAATAACAAAATCGCATGCACGCGGCAAGCGGCCTATAGTTAACACAGTTACTTTTTAAAAAGCCCATTCTTTAACGATCATTAGCAAGTCTACTGAAAACATCAGCAGTACTGACATTAAGAATAGATTAAGTCGAAGCGTTTATCGTGCCTCAGCCAAAGTACTTTCTCGATCCGAAGTTAAAGGTCTCCGGCTTAGGGCACAGTGGCTGTACTGTGGCATGTAACAGTTGCGAAACACGGGTTCACCTATATTGTTTCCGACTATAATTCGCGTCATTCTGATGTCCGCCAGCACTGCGATGCTAGATCCTTTCCGTCTGACCCATGTCCGAGGTCAGATGGAATTAGACCCTCAGAGTTACCTAACCGACCAAGCGTTCCCCATGGTTAAAAATGGCAAACTTTAAAATAAAATAAAATGGCTGCTCACTGGTGCGTGAATGTCCACGTCAACTGCCACAGGCTATCTAATAAATCCTGATGTATCAACTCTAAAAGCTCAACACTGTTTGCATTACCTTACTGCTGTCTCCAAATGTTGCGACAGAGTGATCGGACGAGGATAATTTGAACAACCATTTACATGCAACAATGCTAAAAATGGTTATAGTTAGGCAAATAGACCTGTCAGCCGTGGAGCCCATACTTTACAGTTTTTTTGGTCGTTCATTCTTGGTTAAGGTCCTTAATGTAATCTTCTCTCGTTACATCGACTTATAAACCTTTACACACCGGATTCTATATGCGTGGAACCTTTGAGCATAGAATGAATGTAAAGGGGAAAATTTAAAAAAATCTGAGATATTTAACAAAACACGCGGGCATTAACTTTTAAAGAGACACACTTCAATACAGACAACAGGTGAAACGGAACACTTATGAGAGACGTTGACAAACATAAACTGCGGGAAACTCTCACCCTAGTGGAACATTACTGAAGGTTTGGTGGTTGCCGAATTCTCGACTGCGGCTGTGATAGGGCGTCAGCGATATCTTGCTCATGGATGTCGCTAACGACTCGCGGGGTTGAAGAACCCTGCAGTCGTCAGCAGAATCGTTGGAGAGGACGGCCAGATCGTAGGCCTGAACAACCTCGTCTTCGTTGTCCGGATGGCCGCCGACCACTCGGCTACGAGGATAGGAGTTGGCCAGCATGCCTTGTCCATCTTCGCCGTCTTCGCGAAAATCACCGGCTGCATGGCGGTTTTTGGCGCGCTTTCGAATTAATTTGATTCGGTTTAGCTGGTCGCCTTGAGTTAGAGTTGGTGTTGACGGAGTCAGCACTCTCTCCACATCTACGGTTGTGGACGGAAGAAAAA